TCTACATGCAAAAGATGGAAACTAGATCCCTGTCTCTTACCATACACAAAAATAAACTCAAAATGGATTAAAGACCTAAATTTAAGACCTGAAACTACGAAACTACTAGCAGAAAACACAGGAGAAGTGCTACACAAAATGGGAGCAGGGAGTGCTTTTTTGAGCAAGACTAAAAAGGTACAGACAACTAAAGCAAAAATATGGGACTATATCAAACTGAAAAGCTTCTGTACAGCAACAGATACTATTAACAAAATGAACAGAAAACCTATAGAATAGGAAAACATGTTTGCAAACTATACACCAGACAAGGGGTAAACAGCCAGAATATATAAGGAACTCAAACAACTCAACATCAAAAAACCAAATAAGCCAATTAAAAAATGGGCAAAGGACCTGAACAGACATTTCTCAAATGAAGACACACACAAAGCCAACAAGCACACGAAAAAATGCTCGAAATCACTAATCATCAAGGAATTGCCAATTGAAACCACAATGAGATCTCATCTAACCCCAGTTAGAATGGCTATTACCAACCAGTAAGACAGAAAATAACAAATGTTGGTGAGGATGTGAAGAAAAGGGAACCCTCTTACATTTTTGGTGGGATGTAAATTGGTACAGCCATTATGGAAAACAGTACAGAGGTTCCTCAAAGAACTAAAAGTATATCTACCTTATGAGCCAGCTACCCTGCTACTGGATATATACCCAAAGGAAATTAAATCAATATATCCAAAAGATACCTGCATTCCCATGTTCATCAGAAAGCTGTTTACAATAGCCAAGACATGAATCAACCTAAATGCCCTTCAACAGATGAATGGATAAAAAAAACTGTGGTATATATACACAATGGCATACTACTCAGTTATAAAAAAGAAATGATATCCTATCATTTGCAGTAACTTGTATGGAAATGGAAACCATCATGTTAAGTAAGTCAGGTACAGAAAGACAAATACTGCATGATCTCACTCATACATGGAACCTAAAAATAAATAAATAAATAAATAAATAAAGTGGTTCTCACAAAAGTAGAGAGTAGAATAATAGTTACCAGATCCTGAGGAGAAGAGGCAGACTAATGGGTACTATACTATCTACCCTAAGTGAATCACTGTGCAGTATCTGCATGTATTGGAACAACATACTGTACCCTGCAAATACGTACAAATAAATGTTATAATAAAAATTAAAAAAAAAAGAATTTCTAAAATTATAATACTTAAAACACACTGAAATAAAACAACACAAAAGTGCTTAGATTTCTTGCCGTTTTGAAAATGGGATGACATGTGGTTTCCAGATTATAAAGCCACAAATAACTAGCACACAAATAACTTGTGGAAGGAAATAAGTAAATAAGTTTGTCTTTAGGACATCTGTTTCTATGGACATCTGTTCCCATGACTTATTTTCTAGTACCTAACTTAATAAATAAATTAATCTTTCAGCTCCAGAAGTCTGAGACTCTTCTAAGGGCTTAAGGGGAGAGAAAGTCTTTTCTTTATTATACTTTATTAGTGAAATATAGAAGTAAAGATGTATATACATTGTAAAGAATACTTTCTCCATGAATATTCACATGTTTATGATAAGTAATGAGGCAACAACAAATCTGAGAAAAAGCACTACCATTGAACAGCTCAGTATCATACCAATTTACATATTTGAAATTTCAGTATTGTTTTAAAATCAAAAAGGTGAAATTTAAAGAGTGAATGTACTGGTAGTTCATCCTCTCTTTCCCAGAAATGCTTGATAAAAATAACCAGTTAGATGTGAAACACAGATGTTCCTAAGTATTTTAGCAGTTAATTAAAAAAAAAAAAAAAAAAAGTCCCTATTAATTCATGGCTGCCCTAAAGCAATTTTATTTGAAGAAATTAAGTGTTAAATTCATTCAAAGATTTATCCCAGGCTGATGCATAAGCTACATAAAGAAAGAAAAACCATCCTCAGGAAAAAACCTATTAGTTCTGGGATAAGGAATATTTGCTCTCTATTAATATATGCCAACCTAGTTAACTATGACTAACTTATAATTTCCTTCTTCCAGTAATGTAAATTATCTTTAAAAAGAAGGGTGTTAGTGGAAAGAGCAGAGTTTGAGAGAAATGTTTCACATCTTACTTTCTATGTAAAATGAGTTAAACTACTGAATCACCCCAAGACTCTCTTTAAAAGTAAAACCACTTACATTATGTTGTTGGTATGTATGTAATCTTATTTAAATAAGTGCTTAACATGGTATCTGATCCTTGGTTGATACTTCTTTGCTCTACTTAGACCTTCCAGAGATCTTCAGAAAACACCACTATAAATAATTAGCTTGTTTGAGACTATACTTAAAGCAGAGTTATACTCAAGGTCACAACTATTCCTTTTTCATATACATAAAATAAAATTTATATAAATATATTTATTTCATTGGCATTATTCTCTATTTTATATCTTACTTAGCTTATATTATCTATATGATTATTTTATTTGCCAAAATTTTAATTCCCCTATCTCTCCTTTTTTGATCTTTAACAGAACCTCAGTTTTGGATGTATTCTACCATTTATCTGTTTTGTCTTTATTTACCTGAGCAGCAATGCACTGTTAGAGTAAGTCTCAAACTGAACAGATTAATATCATCATAAATTCATGATCACCAATTTCAAATTAATCTTTAAGACTGTTCAGGATTTCTAGGTTTCTCTGGTAGGTTCAATCCCACTGTTGACTGTTTTGAGTCTTGCCTATTTTTCTCAAAACTTCCGATGTATATCACTTTCAGGAGGCAACCACACTTTCTAATTCAGAGAAAGCTGAAGCCATAGAACAATAATTTCTTCAATTCCCTGCTACTAAATGTACCGACACTCACATTCATGCTCAATTCCTTCCTTCCGGTAACATAGGTGCTTCCTTCTACCTCAGACTAAACCTGTGCTCTGTATCCATTTACTACTCCTCACAAATTTCACTATCAATTATCTCTTCTCTCACTTATTCAACCACTTTCTAATCAACCGTATTCTTCCAACCTATATTTAAACATGCTCTTGCCTCTGAAACCTTAAACTTTTTCTCCTTTGACAATATATCTTTAATTTACCTTCACCATTCATTACATCTCTCAGATATAAAATAATTTCCCAAAATTTTAGGAAAAGACTTTTGTAGTCATGGGAACAAGTAGCTACTTAATCAACATTTTGACTTAATAAATATGTTTTTGCAAGCCAACTCATTAGTGATATCTCCTTGGTTCTGAAAGTCAGCCAACTGAGTACACTAATAAAAATGCTTCTAAATGCCAACTAATCAACAGTCTCTCTCTGAAATCAACTCACTCCTGCCTCTGGAAGTCTACTAATCCCAGATCTCCATGCTTCCCCTACATCCTACATAAGGCCAGCAGTCTGCTATGCTTAAAGCCACTGCCTGAACAACCTAGCCTTTTCTTACTTAGGGAGGCAATAAATTCAAATTTATCTCATCCTTTAAAATACTCAAAGTTACATTATCTCTACAGGTTATCTACACTAGCTGCCTTCACTTTTTTTTAATCTCCCAATCAAATCACTCCACAGAAATAAATTTCATTTAAGTAACTAATCTAAAAGAGGCCAAATCCAACAGATATCACTTTTCAACTAAATCTCACTTTTCTACTCAACAATATATGTTGGTGTTAACCATTAAGTCTTTCTTAAAACACTTTCCTACTTTTCTGTTCAGTCTGTCTCTTATTTAAGTTCATTTTACTCTACTCAACATCTAAACATGGAAGTTTCTGAAGACCTAGTTGTAGGCTTCTCTTTTCACTCTATTCGGCTCCCTCAACTATTTTCTGGGGGAGAATTAATACCAAAAAACTCTAAAGCATCCATTATGAGTATGAATTAACTTCTATTATGTGCATCTAGAATGTACTAGCTAGTTACCATCTTTGAGAGAACTGACAAAACCCTGGTTGAAAAAGGTTGCTGTATAATTTCTCCATAGGCTACCTTATCTACATCCACATTTTTGCCAATGAATAAAATTTTTATGTGCAGCTTAGGCATCTCCTCTGAACTCCATGCACAAATGCTATTCAAAATCTTCACTAGGATGTTTCAAAGGCACCTCAAACTCTTCATGTCCAAGGATAAGAAACACAATCTTCCTTGCAAACTCTAATATTCTTTCAATCTTCTCTCTCAGACATTGACTTCAAATTTCTCTAGAATGCAAGCTCTCTGGAAATGGGGACCTTGTATTTCCTTTCATTATCCTATCCTCAGTGCCAAAAATGCTGCCTGGTATGTAGGCTCCAATTTTTAACTTTTTATTGAGTGAATAAATAAATCTAGTGGCTATAGCTAGAAATGATACATCTGCAAAGCATTAAACACTTTTGCTTGAGAAAATGTTAAAGATTACTATTGTCTTCAATAAGGAAGAGGAAACAGAACACTTATAAATAAGCACTGAAGGCACGGTAAGAAAATTACAAGAAAACAGAGTTTGGAAAAACAACAACAAAAGGCTTCAAATAATTGGAGTTCTCTAAACATACTAATAACTATCTCAGGGAGTAATTAAAAACTTACTAATGAGAACTAAAGAGCTATATATTTTTAGCTGCATATCTCATATGATACTCTTCTCTGTGCCAAGTAAACAAGTAAATATATAATATTATCCATTTCTTCAAAGAGTGCAAAATATACTTGGATAAAGATAAATATAAGAAAATAAATCAAAAAGGAATGCTTCATGATTTCAGATTAGGAAAATTCATAATCAGTTTTCATTTTACATGCTGAATGTATACATCAAATTATGCTTGCAAATTAAATTCTGATACATAATTTTAGGATAAATTGAGTTCATAAATTGAGATGATGTTAAACAAAGGCAGACAGTGCTTCAAAAAGATGCTTTTGATGAATTAAAGGAATTCTCTTATTTAATCAACTGAATGTAACATCATCTGCAAAGTTAAAGTTTCTTACCATTAAAACAGTCTTGGAGGAATCACCAGGGTATCGAAGACTAAATACTCCCAAAGTCCCCAGAAAGCAAAAGAAAGTAAATGTGGCAAGATTTCGAATATCTAGATATGACTCTATAAGTGGTATTGTTCCCATGGTCCAATCACAGCAGAGCTCTGAAGGATTTAATAGAAGCCAAGCATTCACAGGAAGGAGGTAGTTAAAAGTTAGCTGCCTTGTAGGAGTTGGGCTTACAGCAGCTGGGTTATCAAACCTGTATGAAGAATGAAAAAAAAAGTTATTCAACATAAAACATTTTCTAAACACAAAATAATATATAACACAAATAAGCAAAATACTGAACATAGCAGAAGTAATATTTTACACATAATCTAGTTAAGCCGAAGACACAAATATATTTTACGGGTACCTCAGATTCTTGTCAGAGTTCAAACTATCTAAACTTTATGAAAAGTCTTGTTGAGAAAACTGATAATTTAAGAACCATTTGAAGGGCAAGCAGATCATCTATTTGTAATTTATTATTAGAATAATTTATACATACTATGATATTATGACACTTGCAGAAGTGCTTTCATTAAATTATGACTTCTTGATTAAAAGTAATAACAAAAGTTACATAAGATTCATTGTTGTATGTGTTGTATGGATGCTTTTGAGAACACTTACCAATGTTTTCCTACATGAGACATTTCTTTTAGAGCTGAATGCTAATAAAAATTATGCTTCTTAGAAATAATTACTATGTTTTTCACCTGTCATAAACACAGGAAACAGTATCACCTAGGAGCAAAATTTCCCTTTGCTCTGACTCCTAGGTAGCTAAAAACCAAATTAGTACAGAGTAGTAAATGTGTAAGCCTATGTAACATTTTATGTGTTTCTACTTTGTCTCCTAGTACATGTTAACATAAGCTTATATCCTAGTTTATCTTTCCCTAGACCACAATATATTACATATACATTTTATTAGTTTAGTCTACTTTCTGTAAACTAATGCAAATCATTTTTAAAAAGAAGTACATTTCAAATGAATAGCTTTAGATTTTTATTTTTTAGTCTATGTTCTAGATTTTACTGACTATATTAATACATAGTCCTAAAAAATCCAATTTGTCATTTTAAAATTAAAGTCAATGAAAAGTCAAACTCTACCACTCATTTGACTTGGTTTCTTAAAAATATCAAATTTTTGATATTTTTGTTGAGAAAAACTAAATACTATTTGAACAAATAATATCATTTAAAAACTTTCATATTTGAATCTCCATATATATGTAAAATAATAAATCTTGAGTCAAGACTTGAATTCTCAAAATAACCATCAGAACTAAATACAAATCTCTCTTTTTCTCCTATAATACACTATTCAGAGTTCACCTTTTTAAAACTAAGTTTATTTAGGATAGCTGATTTAATAAAAGTTAATGTCAAAACGTATCAAATCATATTATAATCAACTTCACAGGGTAATGTAATAAAGTTTATATACACACACATATATAAACACACACATTTTAAAATGCTTACATTTAGAAAATACATATTTATAGGCTACATATACCCACTCACTCATACATATACAAAACAAATAGATTCACATCTATATAAACCATATTTTCAGAATGTAGATGAAAATGTGGAGATGAAAAATAGTTCACTTAAATTCTCTAAAATTAGAAATGATAAACAGAACAAACACTGAAACTAGGAGGTGAAGAAGGAAATATAAAATGTATATCTACAATTAAATCTATTTCCAATACTTAACTCCTGAATGAGATCAGTTTAGCTTGCCTAGACTCAGAGGTAAAAATTCAGGAAATTGAAAATTATTCTTTAAAGAAAAAAAAAATGCTGAGAAGTATAATTATGTGAAAATATCACAAAACTTTGGGCTTAGAAAATTATCTGAATAAAATTTATTCGAACCAGTGCCAGTAATGCACTATCATGGATAGCAACATGAACATGTCCTTTCTTAAAATAAAGTTCTTGAATGTAATGCTAGTAACTTAAAACTGAATAGGGAACTAGTATATATTTTATTTTAAATTTTAGCTCAGTAAGGTGAAATGGAAAAAGGCAAAATGTTAGAGTAGAAAAACATGGTATGTTGACTGTTAAAATCCAGTATAATTTCTGCTTCTAGCCTTAAAAAACTAAAAAACTGGACAAGAGGTATAGAACATTTTTTTAAACACACTGAGCATTAGACATAGTGATACCTGAGAGTAGAAAAAGAAATGAGGGGAGCTCTACCTGGAGAAATCGTAGCTGGATAGGGTTTCTAGTCAGTGGAACCGCAGGGTGAACTCAGGCTTAGCCCAGTGGTATAACTGAATTGTGAAGACGGAGCTGGGAGCCCTGGGAGCCCAGGCGGCTAGAGTCGGTGGGACACAATACCAGAGAGAAGAAAGCTGCTGAGAGAGAACTTGAGAGATCCACAGAGGGTCTCTCTCCAGTTTCCAGTATTGATGAGTTCTAATCAGCAAGTATATGTGAATAAATGCCCCAAGGTCAGTGCATTGGGTCGATTCACGTTTCTCCCAAATTTGCATCTACCCAGAACATCAGAACGTGGTCTTATTTGTAAAAAGGGTTTTCCCAAATGTAATTAGTTAAGATGAGGTCATACTAGATTATGGTGGACCCTAAATCCAATGAATGGTGTCCTTATACAAAGAGGAGAGGATGAACAGGGAGACACACAGAGAAAGTAACATAGAGACAAAACAGACTGAAGTGATGCAGCCACAAGCCAAGGAATGCCAAAGATTGCCAGCAACCACCAGCAGCTAGAGAGAGGCATGGAACATATTTTTCCTCAAAGCCTCCAGAAGGAACCCATTGAGCTGACATCCTAATTTTGGACTTGGCTTACTGAACTGTAGGGAAATAAGTTTCTGTTGTTTTAACCACCCATCTAGTCTGTGGTTATCTGGTAGAGCAGTATTAGGAAAACTAACAGTCAGGAAAGACCACTGAAAAGATTAGAGATTTAAAAATCTCCAAATATATAGAGCCAGGAACAGTTCCTCAGCAGTCATAGTAGAAATCTTCATAATTCACAGTCCATCAAATAGAGTAGTCAGAAATGTCCAGTGTCAGTAGTGGAGCCAAATTAGCTCTATACTAAATCTTGCTATGATCCCACTAAACAAAACAAAAAGTGTAAACATAAGCCTAGAAGATAAAACATTTCCTTTGGATCCACATACCAGCCAGGTGACAAAAAAAAAAAAAAAAGAAGGTAAAACAGTTTCCAAATAACTTAAATGCATCTCAGAGCAAAACTCAAAAATATTCATAGAAATACATTAATGCAGAATTCACGTATGGCATCCATTAATAAATTACCAGGCATGTGAAGAAGCAGAAAAATGGAATCCATGAGGAAAAAATTTATTCAACATAAATTGAAATGACCAAGAAATGACAGAGATGATAGAATTAGTAGACAAAAACAATAAAAGAGTAGAACATGTAGAGAGATGGAAGATATAAAAAAAGACTCAAATCAGACTTCACTTTAGAGATGAAAACAGCTTCTGGAATGAGAAATAACTAGATGAAATTAAGGGCAGATCAGACATTGTAGAAAAAAGATAAGAGAAGGTAGAAACACAGCAAAATAAAATATGTAAAATAAAAACAGAGGTGGAAAAAAAAGATTGAGTAGAAAAAAATAAACAGAGCATCAGTGCAACAACTTCAAAAAGCTTAAATATGGATAAGTAAAGTCCCAAAAGGAGTAGAAAGACTAGACAGCAAAAATATTTGAAAAAAATAATGGTTAAAAAAATTCAAAGTTTTATAAAGCATAACTTATAGATTCTAAGAAGCTCAATTAACCTAAGCACAAGAAACATGAAGATAAAAGAAATAATGATAAACAGAAAATATTAAAAGCAGGCATTAAAAAAAAAAGCACAATACATGCAAAAGCACAAAGATAAGGATGACAGATTATCTCACTGAAAACAACGTGAGCCGGAAGACAGTACAACAATTTTAGACTATTGAATGAAAAACAGTCAATGCAGAATTCTCCACCCAGGAAAAATATGTTTCAAAAACAAAGGTAAAAATAAAGATATTTTTAGACACAAAAGCTAAAAGAATTAATCCACAATAGACCTGCATATCAAGAAATGTTGAAGAAAGTCCTTCAGACACAAGGAAAAAATGGCACCAGATGAAAATCTTGATCTAACAAAGGAATGCAGAACATTGGAAATGGCAACTCCACGGGTTCATATACAAGACTTTTTAAAAATTATTAATTAAATTCTTTCAAAGATAATTGTTTAAAGCAAAAAATAACAACAATGGATTGTGGGATTTACAAGGTATCTACAAGGAAAAGTTGCGCAAATTGCACAAACGCTAAGTTCTTTTTCTTCAGGGAGGGTGTTTTTTTTAAATATATATATGTATATATAAATACATATTATATATGATGTTTACATTATATATTCTGATATTTATACTATATATACTTGAAATTATAATATCCCTTGAAAGTAAACTGTGATAAGGAAATGATGTATACTAAAAACTCTAAAACAATCACTAAAACAAAATAAGATTTATACTTAACAAGCCAACAAGGAGATAAAATGAAATAATAAAATATAATTAATCCAAAAGAAGACAGAAAAAAAGAAAAGAAAAGAAAGGAAAGGAAAAGAAAGGAAAAGAAAGTAAAAGAAAAGAAGGAACAAACAACAGATGGGAAAAAGAGAAAATTAGCAAGATAGTAGATTTACATCAAATATATCAATAATCAGATTAGCCAACCACACAAAAAAGGAAAACTCAACTGTAAGCAACCTAAAAGAAATCTTCTTTGAATATAAAGACATAGATAAATAAAAAGTAAAAAGATGGAAAAAGAAATACCATGTAACTAACAAAAGATAGCTGGAATACCTAAATAAGACAAGCTGAATTTAGAAGCTCATTTAGTAATGAAAAAGAGATTAATTCATCAAGACGTGACAATCCCAAATGTTTTTACACTTAATAACAGCTTCATTCCTTTGGATATAGACCCAGTAGTGGGATTGCTAAATCATATGGTAGTTCTACCTGTGGTTGCTTGTGAAATCTCCATACTGTTTTCCATAATGGCTGCACTAATTTACAATCCCACTAACAGTGTAGAAGAGTTATTCTACACCATCTTCACCAGCATTTGTTATTCTCAGTCTTTTTAATAATGGCCAGTCTAACTGGGGTGGGATGATATCTTAATGTGGTTTTGATCTGCATCTCTCTGATGACTTTTGATGCTGAGCATTTTTTTCATGTACCTGTCAGCCATGCGTGTGTTTGGGTATATATATCCAAAGAATGAAGATCATCATGTTAAAGGGATACCTACACTCCCAATGGTCACTGCAGCTCTATTTACAATAGGCAAAATATGGAACCAACGTAAGTGTCCATCGATGGATGGCTGGATAAAGAAAAGGTGGGATATATACACAATGGAATACTACTCAACCATAAAAAATAATGAAATTCTGCTATTTGCAGCAACATAGGTGAGTTTGGAGAAAATTATGTTAGTGAAATAAGCCAGACAAAGAAACAGAAATACCAAATGTTCTCACTCATAACTTGCTGCTAGGAAGAAAGGAAGGGAGGAAGGGAGAGATGGAGGGAAGAACACAGGAATGAAGGAAAAAAAGAAAGAAAAGACCACAATAATATGTTGAACTTTCAGAAGGATAGAATAAACCTAAGGATACTAGAGATGGGAGGGAGAGAGGGAGGTGGTTTGGGAAGTGATAGGTCAGGCAAAGGGCATAAAGAAATATCATGATTTGAAAGAATGAATATGCTAATAAAAAGTTTAAAAAATTAACAAAAATAACAGCTTCAAAAACACATGAAGCAGAAATTCAACTTCAAAGAGAAATAGACAAATCTACAATTACAGTCGAGACTTCAACATCCCTCTGTCGATAACTGATAGAACAAGTAGACAAAAATCACTAAGGATATAGAAGACTTATCACTAACCTTAACACTTATCATTATCTTTATTATGGTCATTATCTTTTTTATGGTGGTTTCCTGGATGTACACATACACTTAAACTTATCGATTAGTATGTTTTAATTATACTCAGTTTTAAAAATATGTTAATTATTCCTCAATAAAGCTGTTGGAAAAACTCAGTGTAAATTAAAAACTTTCTAGAACATTTACAATCACTGAAAATGCAAAGTTAAAAAAACAGAATGAAAAAAACAAAAAAGAACCAGAATTTCATACCTGGTGAATACTGGAAGTTGAGACTGAATAATTTGGACTCTAATCACAACAAGTAATAATGTACTGAACATCAAGACAATGAGTTTTATTAGTGTCTGCAGCATAGAAAATGGAATAGTACCCTTTCCACGAAGAAACTGTCCAGCAGTTGAACACAATAATGGCAAAGTATACTAAAAAAGTAAAGAAAAAGGTTTTAAACAGCAAATAACGATATACTACAATGTTTTCAATAATATACTATCTAAATACAACATTATACACAAATTGAGTACAATTATAAAATCAATGTGGAACAATCTGTAGAACTGATCATGAGTAAAATAGAGCTCAATAATCTTACCCAATAATGAATTATAGTTGACTCTTAAACAACACGGATTTCAACTGTGTGGGTCCACTTACAAATGGATTTTTTTCAAAAAATGTATTAAAAAATTGGGAGAAGATTTCTTTTCTTTAGCTCACTTTTTTTTCCCTCTGTAGCTTACTTTATTGCAAGAATACAGTATATAACACATTTAAGATACAAAGTATGTGTTAATCAACTGTTTATGTTACTTGTAAGGATTTCAGTCAACAGTAGGCTATTAAATTTTCGGGAAGTCAAAAATTCTATGCTAATTTTCAAACGCACAGGGGGTCAGCACCCTTAACACCTAGAACCCCAAACCTCTGCACTGATCAAGGGTCAACTGTATACTTGAACAGTATTATTGCATACTTTTCCAAATTGCTCAACAATTCCATTATGGAAACTTAAAAAGCAGTGCTTAAAAAATTGAAGGTATCATAAAATGTTAAGTAATTTTCAGTGGGTATGAGGACAAAACATGCTTGTCTCTTGAAAATTCTGTTACTGTTATTAGTAAACAGACTGATTTAAGTGATGACATATTTAGAAAACAAGGCTATTGAAATCTGACTCAATGGGGACAAAAGATCGCAAAACAAAATTTGTATTTTTCCTTACCCCCTGGGCAATAAATACTTCATATACACAGCAAATTCCCACAACTGTTATTCCTTGTTCTTTACACAATGTTGCAATAGCCACTAAAAACACTGTTAATGCAATCGGAGTCCACACTGCAATTTAAGAATACAAAAAATTAAAACAACACAAACAATTTTATTTTTTTATTTTTTATTTTTGTGGAAATCAGTAGCTTTTTATATAGGCACATGACTTTCTGAGAAATTAAACTTAAGAGTTTCCGCCTGAAGGACAGAAATTGTTAAGAGGCAACATGCAAATCTCAGGCACCACACCATATAATCTCCAATAACAAACTGCCTTTCTCCCTAAATTCTTCCCTTCTTATTACACCTTAACCTCTCCGGAATCAAATCTTCTTCCACCCTATAACCTCTCTTTAGCCTCGATTTCCTTATATTTTCCTCGATTTCCTTATATTTTCATTATTTGTGTAGAGTGTTAGAAAGTTTGATTCTCATTTGATTTTTAGTCCCTGGTGGTCTAGTGGTAAAACAATTTTATAATATCATAAAAAAATTTAAACTTCACTTCTGATTCCATATCCACATTTGTGTTATTTTCCATTGACAAATACTTTATACTTTAAAATATATTTGAATTTTATAAGTAACTTTTGCTTTAGATACTCAAAGTAAAACATCACAATTGTATAATTTGCACTAAAAGATTTTTGTGCAGACAAAAATTATCTAACCAAACACTAACTTTTAAAACAAAGGCAACACAGTGAAGTTGGGGATGAAAAATTTACAGGCTTGAGTGTCATAAATAAGAGCTATCAATCTGAAATCAAGACAAATATTTGAAACAATCATATATATATATCCACCTACAGTCATGCACTATGTAACAATGTTTTGGTCAACGATGGACCACATATATAACAGTGGTTGTAGCAACAGGCTATACCATATAGCCTAGGTGTGTAGTAGGCTATACCATTTAGATTTGTGCAAATATACTCTATGATGTTCACATACCAACAAAATTGCCTAATGACACATTTCTCAGAATCCCCATCATGATGTGACACATAACTGTACTTTACCATATCTGAAATTTATTAAAAATTTGAAATTTAAAGCTATTGGGCAATTCTTACTTAAAAAAAAGACTATAAAAATTACAATGAAACAGGTTATCAATAAGCACTTAAATCACTACTACTTTTTAAAAAAATTCACACAAAAGTATTCAGAAGTTCCATAAAATGGAAAACGAACTTCATCAGCTTTAAGTAAATGTCTACTACTTAGTATTAATTTGATTAAAGAACAATGAACGTGAGAGTAATTCTGGATCTACTACCAACTTACTTTGTGAATTTGGGCAACTTTTCTGAGCTTCAGTTTTCTAATGGAAAAATATGACATCCAATTATTTTGCAGTTTAAAATTAAAGGGAAAAACGCCAAACCAACCAACCAAAATCCCCGAAACTGTTGGGGATACTAAGTATAACAATATTCCTTCCTTAAAAAAATTTCATATTCTAGTTAGATCGAAGCCATGCATACTAATGTCATAGAGTATATCAAGAGGTGTACTCACTACAGTACTAAATTCAACAAGAAATTCATAGAGCAAAGAAATCAAGAAATCGGTAGATGGTTATTCACAAATTAGGTATACAGGACATGAAAAAAATTGGGAAAGGGAGATGTATGAATAAAGGAATAAGTTTGGCAAATGAAAGATGTTAAAAATTAGTGGGAAATAATGGCCTTGAAAGCAGATATTTAAAAAAATATATTGAACAGTTCATATAACCAGTTTAGCATATATTTCACTGAATCTCAAAATCACTCTATGGGATAAGAGGGTAGATATAATCATGCCCATTTTTTAAGATGAGGAAAGAATTTTGGAGGTTTTAAAAAAAGCCACCCACAATAAAGAGACCGTGACTTTAACTTGGTTCTTCTGCCATTAAATTCAGAGCTTCTCATTAATTTGCATTTCCACTCAAAGGAAATACTTTTCATAAGCTTGGATTCAATCTCAAAAAAGAACCAGAATTTCATACCTGGTGAATACTGGAAGTTGAGACTGAATAATTTGGACTCTAATCACAACAAGTAATAATGTACTGAACATCAACTAACAGCTCCAATTAAGACAAAAACTTTATTGAAACCAGTCACTTCAGTTCTTCAAACTTTAGTGACTATATTACTACATAAACATAGACACTTAGATTTTATAATCAGATCTCTGTGACTAAAGTTATCAAATGTGATTTTGTCCAAAACAAGAACACCTGCTAGATAAATTGACATTTAAGCAAATGCAAAGGCCTGAGATTGGATCATGCTTACAAAAAAACCATGGAGCACAAATAATCCAGCATTTAAAGTGATTAAATAATTACAAACTGAAAACCTTTACATAGGTCAACGTACTAGTATACTAGATACAATGGGAATACAAGGTGATGATGAAACTGTGGTCTCAAAGGTAAAATTATTTAATGTAGAGTACAAAGTATAACAGGGATTAGGAGAATAGAGAGAGTTCAAAACAGGTTTCTATATCTTTTCAATTAGAATTTAAAATATATTACATTCATTCAACCTGCTAATTTCCTCAACAAATACAAGGGTACTTCAAAAAGAAGACAAGAGTGAGAAAACATTTTTTAACTTCTGTTCTAGACTCTCCTGACTGCTTTGGGTAGATCATTGTCTGCTCCATTACTGTAGAAACCTGCAGCTACATTGGCTAGTTAATGGTCCAGAGGTAAAATGAGAGCACTTGAGAAGTTTTGATGGGGTAAGGAACAAGTTTTTTTTAAAAAGGTGCAAACTGACCAATCGGTCTTAGGCAGTAACTTCCATACAGCTCTCATCTAAATGCAGAGGGATGGTAAACTGGCCTCTTCTCAACACTGATTCTCTTTAAAAGATTAGACGGGGTGCTTGGTAGAATTGGGTTAGGGTTAGGGTTAGGGTTAGGGGTGCCTTGGGGAACCTCAAACTCTCCACCCTGGGTTGTAATTACTCTCACCTCTTCAGAGTCATAGGAAGAACACAAAGTAGCCTTGGCCCTTCCCCTCAACAGACACAGTAGTTGTTAATTTTAGGAGAGCATGTAGCTTGAATTCACAAGCTAAAATAAAGGGCACAAAATAACTGAAGGACATAATGATCATAAAGAGAGTAAATATCGTTAACATACAAATATTGTAACATACTACTAAACTGGAATTAGTTGAAAAGATAGACAAAGCATTTAAAATGAGTAATTTTTAAGGAAATAAGGGAAGATATTAGAATTATGAAGAATAAGAAATCACTAAAAAGAACCAAGTAAAATTATTAGGAATAAAAAAATAAAGTAAGGTGAAAAGCTATTTCAGTTAGAACACAGAAGGCTTCTCTAAGAGGGAAATACTTGAGCTGAAGTACCATGATATAAAGAAGAATATAAATGACACAACTATGTGAAGCTCTTAGGGAAAAAAATTCAAGAAAAAGGGAAACAAAGTATAAAGTCAGATTCTCCACCTATCTGAAAAAAGCAGGAATGTCTACCTGGTGATAGTGAAGCAAATTAAGGCAAGAGTGGCAGGAGATATAGTTAGAGAGGTAGGCAGAACACCACCATTGATGGTGGTCTTGCAGGTCATGGAATTTTCTAACTTTATCATTTATGCTTTGCTTAGGATGGTACTTAAAGATGATATTGGTTTGCAGTTCCAAATTAGTTACTTACTGCATAGGTAGGGCCTATTATTATTCACATTTTATAGATAAAGGTACTAAAGCACAGAAAGGTTAAGTAATTTGCCCAAGGTACTAAATGGAGCTAGCAAATAAATGGTAGAGCTGGAATTTAAAAACAGACTCTCAAATACATGCTCTTAATTAGGAAGCTCTGCTGCCACTCAAACTGTTTTAAGAAGGCATTATGCATAGCAGCCAGAAGCAAACCAACTCATATTACAAATCTAAGAGACACTAGGATGTTTTGCTGAATCACTTACAAGGGTACTTCAGAAAGTTCATGGAAAGATTCATGTTATTTTTCAATTCTATTTTTCTACAAACTTTTTGACGTACTTGTATTTAATGAACCTGTTTCCACACATACAAAATTAGGATTCTTACCATCAGTACCTTGGGATTATAGTGAGAAAATCCCCCCAAGAACTCAGGAAAAAACATAGAATTAAACTTTTTCTTTTTTTTTCTTTTTTTGGTGGCTGGTCGGTACAGGGATCCAAAACCTTGAACCTGGTGTTACAACACTGAGCTCTAACCAATTGAGCTAACTCGCCAGCCCCCACAGAGTTAAACTTTAAGACTAACTGAATAAAGGTTAAGACTATCATGTAAAGCCCCCTTCGTGCCCACTGTGCCCACACTCTAAAAGAAATCATTCTTATTGCCTGAACTTGTTTTCTGACATTGCAGGCATCATTATGATTAGTGATCTAATGTGGAAAAAGCACTTCCAGGGTAGGCCACATGGTAGGGGCTCAACAAATAGTTGAATTATGATCATACCTCATATACTAAAAGTTAATAAGTCATACACATATTAATAGTTAGACTCTAACAGGTTTTAAACCTTGCCTAAATTTGACAGCCTACCAGGTGTTATTCATCAAAAGACAGTTGAAACATTAGTACCTGTATCATTTATAGATAACAGCAGATGGAAATAGGACTGACTTTAAACTCCACTATATTATGGTTATTTGGTTTTTAAAATCACATCATACAGAATATATTAGCTCATGACAAAAATATAAACTACACACAAAATTTTTTAATATTGGCAATGTTACATACTTTCATATTTCAACACATGCTAAAGTAGAATAATATATAAAGATAAACCCAAAGTGTGGCATATAATGTTTTGTAAGAAGCACTTGGAGTACATAAAAATTGCTTGATCAAGTTTTATAGCTATAGAAAAAATATCAAATGTTAGATATTTACCTATGGAATTATCTGGCCCTTTTGATTTGGTATAAGACAAAAATGCAGCTAGAAAAAAGATAGATGACAAAAGTTCTGCTCTTCCTACAACACCTGTTACCTAGAAAGGAAAAGCAAGGGGGAGGTTCGTATTAGTGAAGAGTATCTTGAAAACTTACTGTATATGATAGCAACTGCACTTTAACTACAAACTAAATTCTATAACTTTTTAAGTACACATTTCTGTTTCTTAAACATTCTATGACTGCCCTCAGGTGGTGAATTTATATATCTTTCATAAATGAAATTTATCAGTGACTCTTTATAACAGTTCTTTTATTATTATTTTAACATAATTTGAAATAATTATAGATTCACAGGAAATCCAAAAATAATACAGAGGTCCTAGGTATTCTTTATCCAGCTTCCCTTAATGATAATATCTTACATAATTATAGGACAATACCTAGAACAGTCCTTAACTTAAAAAAAAAAGAGCAAAAAGCTAAGTACTTCTTACATATTACTAAAATTTGAGTGTTTTTAAAATACAAAGGTGTCATTAGTAAGTTATACCTCATAATAAATTCACAAGCTGAAGTTTAGACGATAAATTTTAAAAAGTCCTTTTAAATTATAAAAATTTAAATAAAAAATCCTTAAACCGCTCCTCTGAAGCATTTTTAACTCACTGTAAAATTTAAAACAACCTATCATTTTTGAAAATGTATGGAAAAATGTCTGTTCAGCTAGAAACCAAAGGGTTCAAAACAGTGGGAGAGATACACACACCACCCCCCATCCCCAACCACATGCATACACCCAGAGACTTTTGCTTACAACAGAAAGCTTGTAACAAGGCAACTGAACAGAGTACTCTTTGCTCTTGCTGGCAGGCAATTTTGGAGTTTCAAAGTTACCAAGAAAATTGAAATAATAAATTGGGTATGTTTTGGTAGGTAGGTGTTGAGGAACATATTGGCAACAGCAGAGATAGCTCACAATTTTGAATCACATGGTAATAGGAAATATGAAACCACTGAGTATTATCATTTGTTAAGATGTCTGTACAATCTGCATATATTTTGATATATCTTCACCCTTTACTTAAATTTGCCTTACTAATTATGTTCTGTCCTGTGAAACACAAACCCTGATCAGTTGACAAATAATATTTAATATCTGTATTGATTAAAAACAATCAAAGAAAAGACTGTGTTCATATATATTTTATATTACTGAAGTTATTATAGATAACTTATGTTCTTGAATGGATAAACGTCCATGTTTCCAAAACTTTTAAACTAAAAATTTTATGCAGTAGGAAGTTAGACTTTGTGTACTAGAAAGTTAAGATTTGTATTAACTTAGAAGTTTCTTCAAATACTTAAAGTCATGGCTAAATTTTTTTCTTAAAAATATATACCATTATAATTATTGTGTAAGATCTGCTAAAAAAAAAATAACAATTAAACAAAATTCAATTTATAGTTTTACTTACTGCTTCTGTGTGTACTGGGTGCACCACAAAAAGCAGAGCAGCAATCACACTACTCCTGTTGTCCAGAAAAAGTTTGCAAACTTTAAGAAATATCACACTAACCATAGCATGAAAAATCATATTTAAGAGATGATATGACATTGGTTTTAGTTCACTAAACAGATAATTTAAGCGAAATGTCAATACTGTTAAGGGACGATAAGACTTGTGGCTTCTCTCCTGAAAGGAAAAAACATCATGATTACTAAAATACCTTGGGCCTTCAGAGTACAAAAATTAATCACTTCATTTACTACTGAAGATATCTACATTTGGCTGAGAAATAACAACAAAATAATGAAATGCCCCAAAAGTAATACAAACATAAAAGACAGCTTTATAATCTGTGTTTTTCTATTTCCTTAGTCCGAAAACAAGGTAATTTCCTCTCTGTTATATAGTGGTCAGAGAATTAACAGTAGGTGAAGAATATCTAATAACTTCTTTTCAATACACAAATAAAAAAAAAAAAAAAAAAAGGACGATGGTGGCATTGGTCAAGCTGGGGCACTATTCTCTCCAAAGCCTGACTTACTATCTATTACCAATACAAAAGTTTACGTAACTGCTGGCTAGATCTTCAAAGGAAACAAAACAATTCAGATCATTATTACACTCAGACATAAAGAAAAACTTAATTACTCATGATATTAATTGGCAACAGAAACAAGAATGAAGATAATGAATAAATAAGCTAACAGTTCCCTGTTAATGTGAATCTCACTACAGGAATGGCAAAAACATAGTGAGATAGTATATACGCAGAAGTTACCTTAACAAAAGTTACCCTTAACACAAGGTACTTTATAGGCCAAATGCCAGAAGAGTGACTCATTAGAGCTCAGTGGTTCTCAGCCATGGCGGTACCACAGAATCACCTGGATTATTTAATTCCCCTGCTCCCCACTAAATACAACAAAAAATACACATACTCAAACAAAAGAAGACACATAAAATAAAACAAAAAATATTGATGCCCACATCCCACTCTAAGAGATTATCTGAAATAACAGGTTTCTGTGGAGCCTTAAATATGAGTTTTTATTTTTTACTGTATTTTATTTTTTTAAAAGATGACCGGTAAGGGGATCTTAACCCTAGACTTGGTGTTGTCAGCACCACGCTCAACCAGTGAGGAAACCAGCCATCCCTATGTGGGATCCGAACCCTTGGCCCTGGTGCTATCAGCACCGCACTCTCCTGAGTGAGCCACGGGCCGGCCCAATGTGAGTTTTTTAAAATGCACCAGGCAGATTCTACTGGGCAGCCAAGGTTGTGATCCCCTGAACTATCAAAAAACAGAGTATTACATATCTACAGAATGGGCCTATTAAAGAGATAATCTAAACACTGACAGTCCCCTCACAGTCCAAAGACCTCAAATATGGCAGTATTTATATGGTTCGTCTTTAAGATGAACACTGGTGCAAAAATCCTTATAAGGTAGCATGCCATGCACATTTGTGTACATGTACACCCCCCCCCCACACACACACCCACACACACAGACGTTTCCAAGCTATCATTACCTGACATCAAGGACTACATCTTTGAATGTGCCAATTCCAGGCTTATCATGAAACCTTATGACATCTAAATATTACTTAAAATAATTTTTCCCTAGTATCCCCTTTGCCTACAAAGAAAGAATGTGTCCATCGGAAAATAGAAGGGAACTATACTCTTCACTAAAAGTAAATGGTTACTAAAGTCTGTCCAAACATTCTAAGTATATTATTATAAATCTTTTTCTTAGACTTCCTGCTTATGTATACTCTTAACAAAATCAAATTTTCAATCTGCAAAACTGAGAAAATCACAAAACAGAGCATTGACACCCTGACTGACTTTTATGAGGCCCTTTAATCTGGTCAGCTAAACTTTTAGTTCAAAATCTCAGCATTATGACTAAAATCACAACAGATACTAGTTTAAGTTGGGGGAATGGACACAAATCGCTAAGGGTCTCTGGAGATCAAGGGTGGGGTTAAGGGGAATAAGCAGTCTAGAAATAATACGTATTATAATAGGGCCATATCTTTCCTTCATTATCAAAACTTTTTCTTTTTTTTTTTAAAGGCTAGAATTGAGTGAGAATAGGAAGGCTGCAGGAAAATAAGTTCTGCTTATTTAATAAGAAAACATATCTATTATGTCTTATTAGTCACAAACACTAGAGAAATGAAAGATTCAATCCCAACCCTTGAGAATCTTCCAAATTTGGGCAATGGGGAAAGATGCCACAAATGATGACTGAGAAACAAACTACTGCAGACTGTTACATGCTATGTTCCAACAACAATTTATTCAACATCTATGTGCTGGGAACCACTAGCTAGATAAATCAGTTTATTTATTAATCCTCAAGGTGTTATTCCCTTTTATACCTCAGAAAAATTACTTGCCTTTTAAAAGCTGTATTCCCACCTATTTCACACAGCTAATATATGACAGAACTAAAATTTGAGCCCAATCTATATAATCACAAGATGACAAGGGTTTCATCTCAGTTTAACACTGACCATTAGAATAAAGTTGTAGGCAGAGTAAAGACATCCTCATGAAAACGAACAAAACTTTCAGATTATCAATATAAAAAAACAAAATTAGGTAAGAGATATGACACAGATTTTACATTTTTAATAAATCACTTTTTTTCAACACAGAAAAATTGGCAATATGTGCACTTAACTAATTTTAACCTTTAAAGTCTAATCTATTTGCACTGAGGTTATGATATTTTTAAACAATTAAGTATATCAGAGTCATCTTTTTTGCCTGACTCACAAAACAGAAAAAAGAAGTAGTCAGTTGGCAAAAAAACAGAACTATAGAACACCTGGTGCTTTCCCTACATATTTGATTTTCACATACACATATTTTTTAAAAAGTAAGCCAAGGTACACAGCCAAGGAAAAGAATCAAATACGGCTGTAAAGAAAATAATCACATCTTCAACTTCCTGTCCAATTTACTCCAAACAAATTATGTCTCATATAAAGCTCTGGAGAAAAAAAAAACAAAAAACTTGTTATGATGACAATGTTGATAAAGAAAGAATCAGGAGTTGTAAACTACCAGACAATCTTAAAATCAGAGATACATATAAGTAATACATAAATAATTATTTACCTCAGACATGGGGGTTCCCCAGAAGTCATTCTGAAATAAAGTTTTTAAAGGTGTAGATGGATGCAGGTCTTTATTATCCAGTATTGCTGAAACATCATCAAAAACAAAACCACAGAAGAGGCTGTTCCAATAGCAGGCAGTAACCACACCTAATATCAAGGTTACTTCTTTGATGTTAATATCAGCCATCTTTTCCACAAGTGCTTGTAGAAAAAAACTGGAAATAAAAATCAGGAACATAAAATAAGCAACATGTTTTTTTCCAAATAAATACAACTTTAGTGGATAGATAAGTAAAATCAAGATTGCTTTGTAATTCTTCCAAAGAAAAGCACAGTTCAAATGCCATCCACCTCCAAGAAGCATTAGCTGACCACCTCTCCATATCCCTGACCTGAGGCACAATCAATTGCTCCTCTATAAGTGTTTCCCTACCTCTATTACAGTCTTTATTACAACACTTAATCTTTGGCCCTCTCTCTCTAGTGAACACCTTATCAACTGTCACAGGTCAGGCTACCTGGGAAGAAGAGGAATACAAGATAACTGTAAAGACCAGATATGTGCTCCAGGAGCGTCTAAATGAATCTCTGTAGGCAAATACAGTATTTGAATAGACACTGAGCATGGGTTTTTCAAACAGTAAGATGGAGCTTAATTTTTAGTCCTTTATGTATGTAAATACCAATCTAAATCAAGGGTCCAAACTTATAAGGTGGCAGCCTTGTTTAGTCTGATCAAAAGCCTTGAAAAATATTTTTCTTGAGTGCCTTTATGCCAGTTATACACTAGCCAGTTGCCTTGGGTTGAATGTCCCCCCAAAGTTTAAACCCCACTATATAACTGTTGAGGGTGGGAAATCCTATTATGGTAATTAAAAGGTGGGTCCTTGAAGAGGTGATGAGATTGCAAGACCATGCCATAATGAATGGATTAAAAATGGTCATCATGGGCATGGTTTAGAGGGCTTTAAAAAGAGAGTAAATGAGGAGGTTAGTCTCTCTTGCTCTCTTTGCTCCACCATTTTCCCAATGTTATACCCTGCTGTTGGGAAAATAGAATAGTTTGGTCAGGGCCCTCAACTCGGGTCCAGTTGGGTGTGGTTCAGCACCCTTTGTAAGCAAATTGTGTGTGCATGTGTGTGTGTGTGTGTGTGTGGTTGGCGCAAATGTGTGCCAGTATATCTTTTTAGTTTTGTTGCTATTCTTGTGTTCTTCAGGGAGAGACACAGAGAGGAATAAAGGGGGGGGGGAGAGAGGGAGAAGGGAGAGGGGGAGAGAGAGAGGGAGAGGGAGAGAGGGAGGGAGAGAGAGAGAGAGA